CTAAAATTATCTGTCTTTGATTCCAGAATTAAAAATACTTTCTATTTCAGTCTGCAAAATAAATTACTTAACGAAGAGAGAGAGAGAGGGAGAGAGGGAGAGGGGGAAAGCTTCTTATTTTCAATCAGAACGGAAATGAGCGAGATGATCCTGATTTTTAATCTCTGTTCAGTTTCAAAATAAAATTTAAACAAAAAAGGCAGCTTCAATTACGAAACATTCCATTAATTCTAATAAATGACAAATGATATATGTAAATTGTTGTTTTATTAAATTTGAAGTATATTGCTTTAGGGACATGGTTAAATAAAAATATGGAATTTATGAAATTATATTCCAAAAGGCTTTCCCATTTCTGATTTCATTGAAACTTAAGAAATGCATATACATAATGGAAATAATTGATACGAAAATTGTTCAGATTGTGACTAAGAAATTTCCTATGACGTTTACGTCCTAAAATAATGCCATCAAACTAGGGGAGAAAAGTTAGGAGTTTTAAGAAAGCTTACGCTAGTACATTTTAGTTGTTATGCTTTTTTCATAGAAAAAAAATTATATATAAATTTATCTGCATTATTTAAAGTAATGCGTGCAATATGACACAAAATGAATTAGATACTAATTTGATGTTTATTGCGATATCTCTTGACGTGAAAGGATCTGATTAAATTTCCCTTTAATTTTGCCCTTAATGCATGGTTAAAATGAGCTGCACTTTTGCAGTGCGCAGATCAAGGAATGAGTTAAAAATTCTTCTTCAAACATTAAAAAGCTTACATTTGCGCGACCACATAATCGATAAAGCGAGTAGTGAGAAACTGGAAGTAATCTGTCATCATTTTTAACCTACATAAAATGCTGATGTAAGTGCGAATAAACAATTCCTAGACGCTCTTTCTTTCCCACTTGAGTTGAGCCCATCATATGACGTTGATTATAAGGATGCTAAGAGATTATAATTCTAATGATGTGACTTAGAAATAAAAGAATATGAGTAAAATACTACACATACATTTAATATTATACCGCATATTTAGTTGTTTTCATAACCATTTGACAAACAACATTAAAGAAAGTGGGAACATGAAGCTTAAGTTTTTTCAAACAAAAAAAGAAGATAGGTCTTTGTTAAAAAAGGTATTCCTTTTCTAACAGGCATTTATTGGCCCTTTTTTAAGTTTACATAATTTTCTGGCTGATATTATTAGGGAAGGAACTTAGAGTTTACGTTATTGAACACCTGTTGCATTTCACTTGGTCGAAAACTTTCAGCCTTAGAAGAATTCATGCTCTCTCTTTTTTAATAAATCAAAATACAGCTGGAAGTATTTGAAAATGATCAACATTAAACGCGTCTAAGGCATACGCTAGTTTATCTCTAGATTGTGCGAACATATGAAACATTTGTTAAGATTTGGCAAGAGAATACAGAATTCGTTATTTAAATTACGAAGTTATTTTTTCTAGCGAGAGGCTGATATATTTGTATAGTTATAAGAGGAAATCTTATTACACAATGTATCTTTATACGAATCTCTAGCCGTTCAACCGGCCAAAGGCTTTGCTAACAAACTCCAAATTTCCCAAAACTGCCAAGAGAGAGATGTATTTTCTTGCATTAATGCAATTTCTGGATTCAAAATGCCCTTGGTACTTTATACTTGGATTTAGGTACTTTTAATAGCCTTAATATCTTTGACATATTTAAAAATGCACGTATATACACTTTCTTAAAGATGTTACAAAAAGTATCTTAGGCCGTATATATACGACATTGCCAGTTAAAGGGTTAGAGAATATTCTATTACTCTCTAGTGTTTGATTATATGCTATACCCTTATCTAAAGGACTTTAGTCATCGTCAATAATTTTCCCCCTTTATCATTGATGAACGTTTTTATTAACGCACCCCCCTTTCAGAGAAGAGCACTCAAAAAGAAAGTTGGAAACGCACTCAGTGTTGAACTACTATAAGTGTTGTCAATAAATTTGTAATAAGCAAACAGCAGTTTAAATAAATTACAAGCCTATGCTTTATTATTATTATATAGACGATTACCGCAGAAATTAGTCTGTTTCTGGGCTTCGGTTTGATATTCATGAATGATAGAAGAGGTTGTCTGACAAATGTAAGTACTCCCCAAAATAAGGCATTGTTTAAAGAAATACAAGGGTATAAAAAAGTAAAAAAAAGTCTTAAACAGAAAATTGTGAATAATTTCTCGTATCCGTATTCTCATAATTTCAGCTTTTCCTTATCAAGGCTTGAAGGAAGAGATTTTGATTGCGCTTTGTGGGCTTCTCTCTCTCTAAAGCAAACCCTTATAAAGTAGTTCTCCCGCCTTCTTAGCATGCCTTCGTGGTGTAGTGGTCAGCACACTTCGAGAGGCCCGTGATTCGAGTCGCGGCGAGGACATTGCTCATTCCTTCAGTTTCTGACATCGAAGAGGATGATGAATCTCCACCGCCAGCATTTGGCGATTAGGTTCCCTAATCTTCGGTCACCCTATAAAAGGGGATTATATAAAGTAGTTCTATTGCCTTCTTAGCATGACTTCGTGGTGTAGTGGTCAGCACACTCAGCGCGTATTCGAGAGATCCGTAGTTCGAGTCCCGGCAAGAGCATTGCACGTTTTTCATGTCTCCTGCTTCGTATTAACCTAATGTCTCAAAACCTATTGATTTTGAAGCTGCAGAGATTTACAGAAACGTTCTTATATGCTACGTTGTATCATAATCAATATTTCTTGAGATTATTTTTGCATCCACATGTTCATAATATATGAATTTCTTGTTATTTTAGAGCTATTTAACATAAGTTCTAGTTCTCGAACTGCAAGCGGAATGCTATTTGATGCCAGGAGCATCTGTCGAATAGCTGAATTTTTTGTTTTTGTTTTGAATTATTAATTTAGCATAATACCAATACTTTTTCTTCCAGTAAAATCGTCTTTCGTTAAGAAGAATCTCAAAATTTTTAGAAAGCGAAACTTTTTAATAATAGCAGTGGCTGTTGCCGAAGTGGGGGTAGCAACAAATTTTTAGTACTCTTCTTCGGTTTTGTTTTGCTGCATAAACAAATTAAAAGCCATAAGAAACAGGAAAATATAACGATGTTTCAGAAAATATTGAACGCTTAGGATATCGATAAAGGCAAATAAAGAGTTCGCTGAACTGCCAGAAAATACTTCGTCAAAACCAAAATCAATTGTTTTTCCTTTCAAAGAAAGGGCAAAAAGACCCTGAAACCATGCTGGTTATTCTTACAAGACATATGATTCATTCTTCCATTCTTCTTAGCGAGGATTTTAAGGTGCATCCTTTTATTGTTGGACATCTGTGAAGTTTGATTTTCAGAAATGATGAAATTTGAAATAACATATTTAAAAATAAGCTGCAATGACCAAATGCTTTGCCCTTAAAGATGTCTGAAATGGCTCTCGACTTCATTACTCTGTCGGATAGTAAACGTTCTCTCACAAAAGGTGGAATTGAGTCTTTCTCCACGTGTATAGTTATAAAAACCGTTTTTAAACAAGTCCATTTATTCTTAACATTAGCAAATAGTTATTATAAGTATTAATTATTACCTATAATAACAATTAATACCTTATATTATTATTATTATTATTATTACTTTTTTCATTCATTTATTCTTGGTTTCCCTTTGTGTTATTTTCTCCCTTTCTTTTCATTTTCTTCCCTTCACTCTTTCAGAGGAATTATATACATTTGGGTCGCAATAAAATGTTGTTTTAAAACTAGGTTGGGAGGTAGAAGAAAAACTTGAAAATGTAAAAAATACACTTAGATAAAAATGTGACCTTTGATTGGTGTAAATAGCTATAAATTTCAACGGCAATGAGAAGATCCCCTTTTTCTAGAAGGAAGGAAAAACTGATGCCAGTCATCTTCGATTCACATATCCCTCCCTTCATATAAAATTTACTCACTGTAACTTAACATTTTGGCCTAATTAGTTCGGATTGCTTAAAATTCTGCTATGGAGCTAAAGGTATCAGCTTTTGTACATATAAAGGTGGCTAATTTAATATCAGCATTAAATCTACGGGTAGCAAAAAGTTACTTTAGTAAGTATTTAAGATTATGATCCAAAATAATAATGCAAGACAGTAATAATATGTATTTGATATAATATTAGTTAACCATGCTGCAGATAAACAAACCGAGACTAAAACCTGTATAGTGTATAAGAAATTTAAAATAGTGCTTTGAACATAATTTCTTCATGAATTTTATATCTTTTGCGCAAAATTGTATCGATTTGGAGGGAAAATAAGTCACTCTTATTCATTCATTTGTAAAATATTTGTGTCCTTAAATTTTAAAGTTTAAAATATGATATAGGTTAATATAAACTCAGTGAACACCTATTTGGAGGAACCAATTCATGAAAGTTAGTTTTTAGTTATACTGATGTGCTGAAAAGTCCTGAAAGTAATGCAAATCCTGAAAAGGGTCCTAAAATGGTCAAAAATAGGAAATTATATTGGCATCGGGAGTGAGCAGTTATACAAGGATTTATAGCAGTTTTACAAGGATTATAAAAATATTATAGCAGTTTTACAAGGATTTATAGCAGTTTTACAAGGATTATTAAAGTTTAAAATATGATATAGGTTAATATAAACTCAGTTAACACCTATTTGGAGGAACCAATTCATGAAAGTTAGTTTTTTTATTACTGATGTGCTGAAAAGTCCTGAAAGTAATGCAAATCCTGAAAAGGGTCCTAAAATGGTCAAAAATAGGAAATTATATTGGCATCGGGAGTGAGCAGTTATACAAGGATTTATAGCAGTTTTACAAGGATTATAATAAGTTTTTAATCCTGCTGCTGGCCTTAATTGAGCATATCTGCTTTTAGAGTACTGAGTGGAAAACTTTGTCTCTTAATAGAGCCCTATCTGATGTGGTTATGAAAAGAGATGTCTTGATATTGCATCTGATAAAGGGGAAGATTGCCTTCAGTAACGATCAAAACTTCTGTGTCGCTGCTCATTTGGAGAATTTTGCGGTAATAAACATGAACATATTATTGAAAATAAGTATTTTATTTTTATTTATTACATGTGCAGCTAGTTACACAGAACGAATTCCTGTTGGTAAGTGTTTTATTATGTAATCTGTTATTGAAAAGACATTATTTTAAATATTTCTACTTTAACTATTAAGCTTAAAGGCAATGATCGTTATAATATGTATTTGATATAATATTAGTTAACAGTGCTGCAGATAAACAAACCGAGACTAAATTACATATTATAACCTTATATAATTACGTATTATAACCTTATACGTGTTATAATATGTAATTTGCTTCTTTTATAATGAATTCTTACTTTTATCAGATGATATTCTTTTTTCTTGTTGGCTTATTCTTTTTATGCTTTTTCTTTTGAAGTCGTATTTATTTTAATTACATTTTAATCAAAATAATTACTCCCTTTTTGTGCTGAATTTATATGGGTATTAAATTTTATCTATTAGTACCGGACTATTTTGTATATGACATGTTTCTTTACCTGCTATAGGATAAATATTTTGTCCGTATATTATTCAAAAATTTAATAATATTTCGTGAACACGTTTAGAAATTTTAAAGCTATTTAACGAGACGCACTAATGAATCTCTTGATGTGATCAGGAAGTAATATGTGAGTTTTCTGTTTCGAAGACTATTTTGTTATACTTAAATACACAATGCCCAGTATCTTTAATACCTCGATAACATTTGAGTAAAATTTAACGACAAGCTGAAAGAAACTTGAGTTCCTTAGAGAATAATTAATCTGTGGAAATCTAGAAATATAAAACTTATCATTTTATCTCTGATTTAAACCAAATATTTTTCAAATATTTATTATTTCAACTTATTATTTGTAAGAGGGAGCAAGCAAAATAATCTTTGCATTAAAATTTCGTAACTACGTTTTTTTTTAATTTTGAGAGAAATGCTTATTTATGTAATTAAGCAAGCAAGCTTATAATAACATTCTTACTTAATTGCAGAAATAAATGCAATGTTTCAATTTTTTGTTTGCTTATTGTTTCGCAAAATCCTTGAAAATAAAATTAGCATTTATTCGCGATACTGTGTTCATAAGATGATAAATATATACACATATGTAATGTTACACGATTTTAAAAAAAAGGTTACACGTAAATGTTACACGTTCTTCATACAAGAAAACTCCAAAGTACTTTTATTTTATGTGAAGTTCTAACAGTTAACAAACTTTTATGTATAAATGAGGGCATAATGCTCACATTATTATGACTTTATTGTATATTCTTTGAAAAATTCTAATCTGTATTTAAATAACAAAGTTAAGTATTCAAGATTTTTATTTAATCAGATATTCAAGATGCATATTTTACGGACTGCAAGATGCATATTTTACAGAATTATACGAGGAACGGAATTATAAAAAAATAAGTAATTTTTTTTATTAACAGTAAAATATCAAAATTAGCAGTTTGGAAGGAATTTTTTATAGTTCTGCTATTCTGTTCCTTCTTGTGAATTTATGGGATTAACAGTTAACTGTTATGGAATGTTAATAACACTCAAACGTTCGTTTAAAAAATAGGAAAACGATCAGGTAGTTGCGAAATTTATCATTTAAAAACGGTATCTGTCTTAAGTTTAGAAGTTCAATAGTCTAAGAGAGTGGTCTTCAAACTTTTTTGTTCAAAGTAGATCAGTATGTTACAGGCACTCTGTGTAAAGAGAGTTAAAGAAAAATATTGTATTTATTATTAAAAACTTTAACATAAAATTAATGTGATTTATTGATTAATAACATTAACTCGTGTTCTATGAGTCACCTACCCTTACATTAATGTCTGAAATCGTTGATTGTCCAACACTACGTTTTCGTCTTAATTATTTTCTTAAATTCTGAAAGCGATTCGGATAGTTGGAGTTCGGATAACTGGAGTTGTACTGTATTTGAGAAACTTTCCTTTCGACTCTGTATTCGATACACAGACTACACTTTCGCGCTATTTAGATGGTAAAAAGAAGATTTATCCCAGATTTTATCTGTTATATATTTGATTGATAGCCCTCCAGCTCATTTTTGAAACTCTGGCAATACCCTTCCCTTCCTTGATATTCTTATTATCCACAATGAATCTGATTTCAGCATAGCTGTTTATCGTACATCCTTTTCTGTTCATTTGCCTCTCCATACTCAGTCATATCACCCGGCTACACCCAAAATGGCTTCTTTTTGCTATTACGTATTTTCGCGTCCTCAAAGTTTGTTCCTCAAACTCTTTGCTTGCTAATAAACTCAATTATTTGAAACCAGTTGCCATTGACGGAGGAATTTCTTCCGTGGTCACTAATAAAGCCTTTAAAATATTTCCATCTTACTCTCAAAGAAGAGATTCCTCTGTTAGAAATAACATTTATAACCTTATCGTACATCTATTTCACCCTTCTATCAGTTACAAAATGGCATGGATTATGCAGAAGTTCCATTTTCAAGTCATTTTTTCTCCTCTCAATAAAATTCATGGTTTGATTCTTAAAGCTTTTATTCCTGACTTTAATTTTTGGGGAATTTACAACATATCTGGTTAGTGTGGTTTGAGGTATATCCCCTAAACTGAAACAGCATTAAAGTTTCGCATCGATGAACACGAATATTATGTCCGAAAAGGCAAAATTAAGGTCTTCGCTAGCTGACAACTTTTTTTTAATTACAACTTTGACTTTGGGACTGCAAAAATTATACAAAATTTTCTTCATGGTGAATTAGATTTTCTTGAAGCTTTTCACATTCACAAATATTTATCTTCTTTAGTTAATGCCTTTCATTCCAATTCGGTCTTTCATAACGATTTTACAGGTTTCATTACTATTTCTGCAGCCAGGCGGAGCTACCTTCTGGTTCGGTTTACTGATTTTGGATATAAAAATACTATCGGGGCTTTCCCCAACTTGGATCCTGACAGCTTACTTAAACTAATGATCTCATATTTGGAAGATCGCACGTTTCAAGTGAGATGTGGAGATGCCCTTTCTAATAAGAAAAATATTTTCAGAGGCCTTCCTCAAGGATCGGTTCTCTCCCCGGCAAACTTTAATTTATACGCCAGCGACATGCCTAAACCACAGAATGCAAAAATTTTGAAATAAAAATTATAGAACTTTGGTGTAAAAGATGGAAAATTAACCTTAATCCAGAAAAATTCCGCATTGTAATGTATCGAAGATACAGAAGATACCTCCCCGTCAACATTGACATTAGAATCGATAATGTTCTCATTCCAACCGCAAGCTCCTACAAATATCTTGGCGTCTTCATTGATTCACAGCTTACCTTTAAAGAGCACATTAATTACGTGACTAACAAGGCTAACGGCGCTTTTATGGCTCTGTATCCACTCCTAGGAAGGAAATCAAAACTAAATCTACAGACTAAACGGACTCTGTACCTAACGTTAATTCGCCCGATACTTCTCTATGCTGTGCCAGCTTGGGCTACTGCCTGCAAAACTCATAGAAAAAGATAAAGTGTTTTACAAAATAAAATACTACGCTCCATGACCAATGCAAGCTGGTTCATTAGAAACATTCAAATCTATCAGGAACTGAAGATACCGGAAATCCAGGAACAAATCCTAATTTTCTCTCACAAATTTTTCAACAATGTCATGAATTCACCGCATAATACCATCAAAAACTTAGCGAACTATGACCCAGCAGAGGAAAATACGGTTAAACGACCACGGTCTATTCACCACAATCCAAAGTGGTGAAGGTGAAATGTAAATATTGTAAATACTTTGCATATACACTTCTTCAATCTCATGATTTAATCGCATTTATCGCATTTTTCATTTAACCAAGTTTCAACTTTGTGTTGTGTTGTGTGTATGTATTTTCTCATTTTATTTACTTTGGCGAAGCTTCGGACTATTATGAACTAAAAGACTGTTTTGACGAAGGTAATCTTTGCATTATTTTTAAAAACTGTGTTTTCCTAACTCAGTGCATCGTTAACCGACTCTGCTTAAAAATGCTTCGCTGCGATTGGCCCACGTGACCTCACGCCCACTTCTGCAATTATGAAGATTTAATACGTTTTAAAATTAATGCTCCAGTTTTAAAAATATTTATGCTCAAGAAATGCTTTTACAAGTGACTCTCTCAAGATTTTAATTGCTATCAAGGGGTTATGGACTCTAGTGAATTGTTTAAAAATTAATTTACTACTTTTGTATGTTTGACCACACCGAGCTTGACTCTCAGTCGCGTGAACTTTAACGACTCTCACGTATCCATGCTCATTTTCAGTTAACGAAGTTCCTAGATATGATACACTGCTCCGGCACCTACGCATAATTTATACGACCTATTTCAGATGTTTCAATTTGAACTAATTTAATAATTACTAGTCTCTTCCCTGTATGACTTGCCACCTCTACGATTTCGCCTGCGGGCGCGGTGCTACGGCATCCTAACTGAACTGTAAGACAAAAAGTGAGCGGCCTTCGGCCGTACCTGATTTATAGGCAAAAACTCTTAGTAGTTGTTACCTAGTGTATGAAAGGATGATTTTCATTTTCATTTTTCCCCAACTTGGAACCTTCGTTGCTGATTTCTTTGTTCTTGATGAAGAGGGATCTGTACCTCTTAATCAAGGACCGAAAGAGTCTTGGCTAAAATATACGCCAAACACAAGGTTACTGCTTTACCTAATTTTATGTTCTACTTTAGCTTATCTGTATTCTCTCTTGATGAATTTATTCTATTTAAGTATTCGGGAATGTTAAATAAATACGGAAACGTAAGTATCGATATTGGTTTATTAATAATATTATTTTAGCAAAATTAAGAATTAGTTACAAAAATAAGTAAAGACGTATGTAGCAGAAAAAAAAATATTTTGTTTTAAAGTACCATAAAAGAATAATATTTTAAATTACGGAAAAACTCATCCTCACGAGTAAAGAAAGGAAGGAAAACCTTATATTATAAATTATGTTCATCTGCTTTTGGTGTCTGCTTTGAATGAAAAATTTCTAAGGAAAACTAGTTACGTATGAAGAGGAGCCAGTAAATCAGAAAGATGAGAAGTCAGAAACT